CCATCACAAAATAAATTGAATGTTAATCCAGTGCAGACTGGATACAGTGTCACCTCATGGTCTCAATGAGAAGTTTGATTGGCACTGGTTCCTGTCATACACATTTAGTAACCGCTGGTGCTCACAGCAAGGTTAGTCTGGGTACTCTACTCAGATTAAATTATTCACTGTGTCCTGATAATATTTTACTGTAAATGTTGCCCTCTATGAGAGCCTGACATCTGCTTTTTGATGAAGTGTTGAACCCCGTAACGTTTTCTGTCTCTTTGTAAGTTCTTCACACTTTGTGCAAATAGCACATCCTAGTAGCACTACTCTCATTTTGTTTTCCGTATTCTGCATCTGTTTTTACTAGGTTGCCATACCATGTATGTCATCATCAAATTAAGGCCAAATTGATGGTCCCCTATTGTTCTCAATCTACACTGCCTCCCTTGGTAAACTCATCTGCTCTCTCAGCTTCCAGTATTGTTTCTATGCGGATGACACACAAATTTATCTGTCCTTCCCTGATTTCTCGCCACCCCTCTTGACTCGTGTTTCTGACTGCCTCTGTGCTATTTCCAACCAGATGGCTGCTCATTTCCTTAAACTAAACCTGTCCAAAACAAAACTTCTGATCTTCCCTCCCTCAAGAGTTGCTACTCTGTTGTCTGTGTCCCTCTAAGTCAATGGCGCTACCATTAGCTCTACCTCTAATGCTCGCTACCTACGAGTTTTCTTTGACTCTTACCTCTCCTTCACTCCTCATGTCCAACCAATTGCCAAATCCTGCCGCTTCTACCTAAAAAATATTGCGCGCATCCGACCCTATTTAACACCAGATACGGCAAAGGTGCTTGTCCATGCCGCTGTCCTCTCTTGCCTTGACTACTGTATTCTGCTTCACAGTGGTCTTACGTGTTCCCAACTTGCCCCATTACAGTCTATAATGAATGCGGCGGTGAGGCTCATCTTTCTGTCCGCCCGCACCTCCCACGCCTCCTCACTTTGTCCGTCCCTACATTGGATTCCTGTAAGATATAGGACTCAAGTTAACATCCTGATACTTGCTTACAAATCTCTACACAATGCTGCTCCAACCTACTTATCCTCACTAATACACAAATATGTCCCATCTAGGCCTCTATGCTCTGTCGGAGACCTACATCTAACCTCTGTTCTTACTGTTACCTCTGATGGTCACCTTAAAGACTTCTCTAGGGCTTCACCGTTCCTATGAAATGCCCTTCCCCTCTATATTAGACTTTCACCCAATCTCCACTCCTTCTAAAAATCTTTGAAAACTTACTTCTTTAGAACAGCATAGCAATTAAACTGTGAACAGCTTTCCCTCCCCGCACCGTGATTCCGCTCCTGCAACTGTCATCAAAACAAAACACTAAGCCTTCAATGAACACTATCCTAGCAACCTACCTTCCTACCCTACCCTTACCTTTTGTGTCACATTACACCACTCCATCTAGCATGTAAGCTCACTGAGCAGGGCCCTAAATCCCTCTGCTTCTGTGTGTCCAACTTGTCTGGTTACAAATGCGTGTCTGTTAGTCCACCCATTGTACAGCGCTACGGAACTTGTTTGCGCTTTATAAATAATAATAATAATAATACTAATACATTTGGACAAGCAATTCAGAGATTTTTGGTCACATGCTTTTTGCAGGTAACATTGTGGAGCTCTCCAATATGAAATGAAGCAGGAGTTCTAGTACCCTCTTATTAACTGACAGGCATACAGTGATATGGTCCATCTTATTCTCTCAAATTGTAGGTAATGGCATAAGGCATGCCCTTCTACTTTATTCCCCAGGCCCTGGAATGCAGGAAAAAAATATGTTATACCATTGATAGAGCCTCGTTTTTGAGGTGAAACGCGTTAATAAAATGTGTGTGGGAAAATGTAACAGTCCAATTATTACTTTTATTTAATATATACATTACAATACTCGATGTGCTCTCCCCATTCCCTGTATATGTTTAGTGTACATTCCGACAAGGGACATCAGAACAACGGCGATATACAGGTTAGAGAGAGACCCTTATCAGGAGTGGATTATACAAACAGGATTTCTGTACATGGGAAACGATAGTAGAGAAATTGGATAAAATGGGCTAACCAAAGCCTTGTAAGACAGGCACCTGAATATATTGTTGGAGAATAAGAGCCACTGTAAAGGATACTGTTGTTAAAGGATACCATTTTTTAAGAGCCTTGATTTTATTAATTTATTTAAAACAAAATTCACTTTTATAGAATAAGCACTATTTGTATTTATTTCGGAAAAAAATGCTTTAAAAAAAAAAGGTGATGTAATAATGATGCTGCGGGCATCATTTATACGGCTGTAAAAAAAAATTGAAGCAATTAAAGTGTGGGATCAGAAGTGTACCCAATCCCTTTTGGCCCTGAGACTGCTCTATCATTACATCAGGCTAGGTAATAGGATCCCTGGGCTAAATTTGGACTGGATATGAGTAAAGGAGCAGATGAGCAGCTGCATGCCCACTCACTCATTATTAAAAACCTTAATTCTACCACATATGGGGTCAATAAATAGTTGTGCCATTTCTTGAGCCCACTATGTCCACGTTAATAGGATGACCCGTGACAAGAGATCAGAAGACTGAAAATGTTTATCCTGACACAGTGAGGATTCCAAAAAACACTCACTGCTCTCTTTAACCCTCATTCAGGAGTAAACCTTGTCTCCCTCTTATTTACCGTGTTCCCTAGAACCCCTTCTAGATTTTTATTGGTTCATTTGCATTTATGTTTGTAGTATGATGCCTTCAGGTTACTTATATCATCTGCTATATTATTTATTTACTGAGGGAGAGTCAATTTAGAGATAGAATACTGAAAGTCCCAAAATTCAGGGAGATTTTAGCTGTAATTAATTTGATAATTAGCTTATTTCCATATCTTCCATTTAATTTGGTTCTATTTTTCATTAAAAGAAAGTTGCCTTAAGTCCTATTAGCATATTTGGAGACAATAGCTAGACATCTATAAGATTTGCCGTTGGGAAATTGTACTTAGTTTTTTTGTTTTTCAACCAATTCAGTTAATTTTACTCTATTTGGGTTTTAAATTCAGAGCTAAAATACCCTCTTCTAATTTGCATTTTTCCTTCAGGACAACATTCTGCATAGCAGCAAGACCAATTAGCACAGAATTTCATTAAATATTATTTTCATTTATTCATTAAAATATCACTTTTCATTTACATTATTTTGAAATGGTGATACGCATTCAACAAAGAATTAAAGATATCAAAGATACATTAAATGAAAAGTTGCATCAAAGAAAAAAAAAGACATGAACATTTTACCTAGGTATGGTAATTAAAATTATCCTACAGGTCAAATAACAATGTAACACAATAAATGAAAAATATGACATATAAAAACTTAATCATAAAGTAAACATTTACAAATGCAAGTATTCACTATTATAACTGAACTTTAATGCTGATAGCAATGAGTCACATATAACGTTAATCATGTCAAGCTGCAGAGAGTCGATTAGACATATTAAAAGATATTTAAATATTTATTAATACATAATATATATTAACACTAAGTTGTTATTGCCAGGGATCCAGACCAAATTTCAGATTTAGATTAATACAAGTTGGAAATATGTCCAAGGTATGTATTATTTCATCTATTTCTGGCCTAAATATGAAAATCTGACTTACCTACTTCTAACAGTGGTGTGTGTCATGCCAGCGTAGATACATCAGGATAACAAACACTGCTCTAGCTCACACTCATGGGTTTAAATGCCCCGAAAAGCGCCCACATGCACCACAAACGCAAGTCATTTGGTGCTTGCTCTGCGCTGTCACTCTGCCCACCTCTGACACCGGGTGACAGAGCTGGCTTTTCAGGTGAGGGGACTGAGAGAAAGCTTGGTATCACACAAGGAGATTGAATGATTTGGGAGATCTGAAATAGTTGCAATAAATACAATAATGCAGTGCTCTCCAAACTGTGTTTTTAGGACACTTTAGTGTGTTGGCTGGAGTGTGCAGGTGTGTCGTGCGAGCACCACCATTTTATGCAGCTGCCAATTAGTATGCATTGCATTCTAATTTGCACCTGTATAAAACCTGTGCACTCATAATGCATTATTCAATCATCACTGGTATGCACTGCGGCCAGGGATCATACTGTGCATTGGACTGCGGAAGTGGGGCGTCATGGTACACTCTGTACAGACAGTGGGGTGTGGAGAGAAGCTGAGAAAGCGTGCTGCTTTCCGAACAGCCTTACAAAAATTCGAAGAGTGATTTGTGTCATAGGTGTGATCCTATCAACCTCATACATCTCATTAAAATATTAAACAGTCAGCGGCTTTATTCAAATGTATTTAATTCTTGCACATAGTTACATATTGTTACTCATAAATGCCAACAGTCTTGGAAATGTATGTTACTATCTTACAAATCATATATTTATAAAATTATACATGAAAGGTTTTCGTCAGATATGTTCTGTCCACATATATTTTGTTATAACGATTTATGTTTGTGTCTGTATCTCTTATAAGGGGTTAGTAGTAGTTTAACCTCCGGTTTGCAGTAATACTGATTTACTGTGACACAAATGATGCATGTCTAAAAAAGTGTCACCAACATGGGAATTTGGAAAGCATTGCAGTATTGGCCTAAAAGAAAACTTACATCTATAAGGCGCAGCATTTATAAGTATCACAATAAAAGATATCAGAATGATGGGTTTGTGGGCCTACTCCAATAATAGTTTCAGAAGCCAAGCTGCTGAATGCAGTGCACAGACCTGTAAGGGTATGTAGTGTACACCAAGTCATTTCACAGCATGGGCAAAAAATAGTCTATACAAAAAAATACAAAAAAAAACGTAAAAGAACAGATGATGGATGGACAGAGGGTCAGTGAGAGGGAGGCTAATGCTTAAGGAGTTATATTTAGTTTTTCCTGCTCACTGAGACAATATAATAGGACTGTCCATTGTGTGTTAGGGGAAAGGGCGCTCAGCACTATTGAAATATTACAGCTGTAGAAAGAAATCAGATCTGGCATGAAGAGAGCTGTGAGAATAAGAGAGCGCCTGGCCCTGGAGGGTGTGTGCGCGCAGCCGGGTGTGTCACACTTACAGTAATGTATATGCAGTATGCAAAACGCACTGAGTCTGCAGAAGTGGATAGCTTTAGTCCAGGTTACATATGCACTTATAATGAATGCACTTTACCTAAGGAAGCACAGGCAAATTAACTCCTTCTTGACACTTCATGTCTGGAACGTCATGATTAGGATCTGCCTAGCCCTTTGTCATGAAGAGGTTAAGTATTTATACATGGAGGGGTGGAACAGTGACTTATGAAGTTAGTGGGCAATAATTATAATAAGAATTTATGCATTCTTTGTGCATTTGTATACAGCATATCAAGCGAGTAAGACCCTGAGGAGGCAGACCAAAGGGCTAGCTGGGAACAGGGACATGTGCCAGTGGGGGAGGGTGTAATAAGTTCAAAGAAAGGAGGTCCTGTAGGTAAGATGGGAGGCCTAAGTTAAGGGGAGTGGCTATATATATATATAGAGAGAGAGAGAGAGATCCATTTTCTGTTACCCTCAGCCATCTTAATTATCCGGCTTGGGAACAACTTCCCTTGGTGTTCCCCAGCTACATTCGCCCAGGGCCTATGGATGTGGAAGGTATTTTGGTGGCCTTCAGGGCTAAAGCCTTGCAGGATGGTGGTGTGCAGCTGCAGGCACAACTGGTGCGGCTGCTGGCTGCTTTTGGGTTGGCCGACTGGATGGCCCGCGTCGGGAGGCGTATCCACCGACCCGTTCCAGCCCCTCCTCTGGAGGCCCGGCTTCTCCATGGCCCAGGCGGTCTGCGGCCGCGAGATTTAGGAGATCCCCTTTGCCCCCTGCCTCAGCGCGGGCTGTGCGGGGCCCGGCTGCATCCCGGGCGCGGCCTGCAGTACAGGTGCGTGCTTGCCGGACGGCTGAGCATACTAGGAGGCGCAGTCCTGCCTTGCGGGCCTCTCTGTCTGCAGCAACGAGGCCGGGTGCGGCTCCTTCTCTTACCCCTGATGGATCGCGGGCTGTTTTGCTGTCCGCGGCAGCCCGTGCTATGCCCTCGGATCCCCAGCACCGGTACTGCTCGTCATCTGACGGAGTGTGGCTCCTGCCTACAGGATGGAGAGTAGGCCGCAGGCCAAGTCACATGGGGCCCAGGGTTCGCCGGGTGGGTGGGAAGGTGTGGGGTGGGCGGGGCTTACAACGCAGGCCATGGAGGCCTTCGTCCCTGGCCTCCAGTGCCTCAGGGAGCCCCCTTCCCTCACCCTGGTCTCCCCTGTCTCCCCTGGGCCTGCTGGGCTCTCTCTGCCCCTACACCCCACTGGAGTGGGCCTGTGGATGCTGGGCTGCCTGTATTGTCTTTGCAGGCCGCTCCGGACCGGGCCTCAGTTCAGGCGTCCTTGGCTCCTGCTCTTGGAAATGGCAATCTGGATGCTGCAGTTTCAGCCCAGCTAGCTCCTCTTAGCTCGGCTCTGCTGCTCCAGTCCGCGCAGGCACCGTCTGGTGAGTGCTTCAACTCTTCTGGGTTGGGGGGCTCTAGCAAAGCTGGGCAGCGGGATTGGCATAGTTTAGTTAGTAGTATGTGCAGGTTTTTGTCGCAGTTGGAGCGCAGCACGTGGATGGCATTGGCGCAATTCGCGTTCATTGATGCTCAGGTTGGCGGGCCACGGGTGGGTGGGCCCCCATAGGTGGTCGCCCCGGTACCAGGGACAGTGAGGATGGCGGTCGCGGCAGTTGCTGCAAAGGGGTCGGAGGTTGCGCTGGCGGCCCACGGGGCAGCCTATATGTGCTGGTCCGGTCTTCATTTAAAGCAAGAAGTTAAAGAGAAAATCTGGAAAGGGGAGTTTGTGGAGATTTTCTCTCTGCTGCCGCTGGAAGATCTGCCCCCTCCTGAAAAAGAGTTTAAGGATTCGGACAAGGACCGGGAGAAGTTCTGGAAGATCCCGAAAACATTCAGAAATTGGATACGAGCCTTCTAGATCTTGGCTAGCTTGATCGGGGAAAAGGCGCCGGAAATATGTTCTGGCCTCTTCTGTTACCAGGACTTAGTGTGGAACACTTGCAGCATGTATGGGGGCCTTAGTTGGGGGACAAGGGGGACATCGTGGGGTCTAAGGGTGAAGATGCCGGTGGACGTCGCTGATATGGCCCCTTGGCTAAGCCGCTATAAGAACCGGAAAGTGGCGGAAGTGCTCCTGGGGGGGTTTTCGGGACAGGTTTTGGATCTCTTATGGGGAGCGGGGAGCGACAGGGGTGTGTCAGAATTTGCGTCCTGTACGGGAGCGCCCGAAGATAGTGAGGGACAAGTTGGACAAGGAGGTGTCATGGGGGAGCATGGTGGGCCGCTTCGTGTCCCTGCCGTTCCCGCACCTGAGGGTTTCACCCCTGGGTGTGGTGCCCAAAAAGGAGCCAGGTAAGTTCCGGCTCATTCACCATTTGTCACACCCTCCGGGGGTCTGTGAATGGAGATATAAATGAGGAACTTTGCCGTGTCTCTTATGCCTCGTTTGACGTGCAGTGCGTATTGTTCGCATGGCAGGGCCAGGTACCCTCATGGCCAAGGCCTGACATGGAGACAGCATTTAGTTTGCTCCCAGTGCATCCGGAGTGTCATTACCTCCTGGGGTGCGTTTTCGAAGAAAAGTATTATGTGGACTTGTGCCTCCCTATGTGGTGTTTAATATTATGTTTTTACTTTGAATGTTTTAGAACTTTCTTGGAGTGGGTTGTGCGGATGGAGTCGGGTTTGGCCTCGATCCTATACTACTTGGATGACTTTCTGTGTGTGGGACCGGTGGGCTCGCCTGTCTGCTCGTGGCTGCTGAGATCCCTGGAGTCAGTGTCACGGTCCTTTGGGGTTTCGCTGGCGCTGGATAAGATGGTGGGTCCATTTTGTTTAAATGTACATGGGGATTTAGGCCAGAGCGCAGGTAACGTTTTCTTTGTTTTTACTATGTATTTTAAGCTGTTGGATACTAAGCTACTGCTGCTGTAAGCGCGGTGCTTTATCTTTGTGTTTGAAGATGGTGGGTCCGACTACTTGTCTCAGCTTTCTAGGGATCAAGATCGATTCCTTGGCCAGGGAATACTGCCTGCCTATGGACCAGGTGGTGGAGTTGTGTGGCTTTGGGGCCATCCTGGGTGCCCACTGGTGCGCTGACACATGGCTGGCATCGTGGCAGATGGCGGAACTGACAAGGAACTTGGTGTTCATGGAGCTGTTCCCGATTGTGGTGGCAGTGGAGTTATAGGACGATCTGCTTCGGGATCAACGGGTCGCATTTCACTGCGACAATTTGGGGGTTGTGTTAGCCATCCACAATCTGTCGGCTTTCTCTCCCCCGGTGGTTTGATGGTTGGTGTTGCGCTGCCTGACACGGAATATTGTATGTAGGGCAGTGCATCTCCGGGGTGGTCAATGTAACAGCGGATGCCCTTTCTCGTTCACCGTGGCGAGAATTTTGGAAGGCCGCTCCGGGGCAGACTCAGAAGGTTTCCCGTGCCTGGAGGAGCTGTGGTCTCTTGGGCTGACAGAGTGATGGAGTGGATTCGCGGATCGGTGTCGGAGGCCACATGGGTTCGGTATGGTAAGTCATGGCAGGAATGGTTAGCGCTTGAGCAAACCTACGGGGGGTTTCCTTCGGTCCAGGCACGGCTCCAGGGTCTGCTGAATCTGCTATGGTTCTGGGAAGCGTCAGGGTGCTTGCCTTCGGCTGTTTCGGCCAAGCTTTGGGGCCTTAGCTTCTGGTTTAAGCTGGCTGGGGTCCCGAACGTTACAAAGGATTGCCTGGTAGTGCAGGCGATGAAGGGTTGGCGTAAGGGCCTCGTAAGCCCGTCTCTGGGGCTTTGTTGTTGGGCATCTTTCAAGTCTTACCCCAGGTGTGTTCGTTGGAGTTTGAGATGGTCTTGTTCAGGCTCGTGTTTGTGTTTGCGATTTTTGGGGCACTGAGGGTGGAGGAACTCAACAGCCCCAACAAACGGATCCATGGGGGTATCCTGGCGGGGGATGTCATGTGCCAGGGTGCGGTGGTACAAATTCTGCTGCGCAGGTCCAAGACCGATACGGGTGGCAGAGGTGTGTGGGTAACCCTGAAGGAGGTACCAGGTTCGGTGGTGTGCCCGGTGGCCGTTTTCCTGCGGTACATCGCCTTGCATCCGCCTGTCCCGATTTCAATTCATTTGGGTTTTTCAAAAGTCACTGGAGGCTTTGGGCATCGCGAGCAGTGTGTTTGGTGGCCACTCATTTCGTATCGGGGCGACTGAGGCGAACAGATTGGGATTCTCGGAGATGGCTGTTCGCAGGATCGGTAGGTGGGAATCGGTAAGGTCTCAGTCCAACATTTGCCCCTCGGGGCTGATTTCCTTCCCTGCTGTGTTTTCTCTGTAGGTCTAGTGAAGCGAGTGTGGGTAATCGGGCACTCCTCCTACGTACACTGGGTCAGGCATCGGGCCGGTATTCATCCCCGGGGGCTTCTTCTCGGGCAGTCAACTATTGCAGTCAAAGATGGTTCGGGTCCAGAAGGAAGTGCTGGGTACATCTGCTCCTGGAGCTGGTTCATTTATCCCATTTAGTGGGAGTGCCGGATGTCTTGGTAATTCATCTTGGGGGTAATGACTTGGGTCTGGTCCCGGTTGGGGATTTGGGGGACAGGATGCGCAGGGACCTGGCGCAACTTATGATTTTGCTTCTGGACGTCTACTTGATATGGTCGGAGGATGTTTCACGGAACAAATGGAGGTGTGTGAGGGACCAGCGGGCAATGATTCGCACTACGGTGAAGTTAAATAAAAGGGTATTGAAGTTTGTGCGTGGTATTGGGGGTTGTACAGTGTGGCCATGTATTTTCGCAGTGATTGGGTCCACCTCACGGACGTGGGGCTGGATCTTTTCAATCTGGCGCTGCAAGACGCTTTGGTGGAATCCATGGCGGTGTTGGTGGGGCGGCCCCGCTGATTTTAGGGGTAAAACAGTGGGGCTTGTGGCGGATGAAGGTCCTTGCCAGTCAGGGTTGGACCAGCGGTCCAGTGGAAATATTTCAGAGCTGATCCTAGACTCGGGATTAAGTTATGATGAAGGACGTGCCCACTGAGCAAAAGCCGGTGGTTAGCATGGATGGTATTGGAAGGCCAGTT